TCAAAACCAGTGCATGGACATAATTGTAGTGCAAAGGGGGCGCACAGTGTCTCTTAGGTCGTCGTAATCGGTGCGATAAGCGTCGGTGGGTGTTCTGGGAGGACTGGCTGATGTGGGCGCTCGTCGGGTTGTGCAACAGCATGACGCTTTTTCCGTATAGGGAGTGTCGTGCTCTGATAATGCTGGGCCTTCTGAATCCAAGTCAATGCCCTGATGGGGCTTGCCTTTGGAAGGCGGTGGCTGTTGAATAGTGGAACACGAGACACCAATGCGGTAACACTCTTTGATTCTGTCAGCGTAGATAGCTGGTTTCTCTAAAGGTGTATTTGAGTCCAACATAGCCAAAACCTGTTGCATAGGCACCGGTAACTTTTCTAACTAAATCTCGCGAAAAATGGCGTCGTCCATGTGCCTACCAGCGAGAAGTGAGCGCATGTGACGCATGAGTTGGGAAGGTGTCTGATCACCTAGCTTTACTTGCGTGAAAAGTTCCCGCAGCATAAGGTTGGCCGATTTAGCTACCCGTTGGATTACCGCTTCCTTCAGTAGCGTATACGGTTTGCCGGCTGGAATGGGGTCAAGGAGGTCTTCGACGGTGACAGCTACATCAAATGGGAGGGACTGCAAAACTTACGAATAGCGGGTACGTTCGCTAGTAATGCGGCTTGTCACAAAAAGAGCCTCGATCTGCCTGAACCAAACGCGAGGATTGCTCGGAGTAAACGGTGGCAGTTTAAAAGAAAGGGTGTTAATGTCGAGTGAGTCTTTTGGGAGTCGTCACTGGCCATGGTAAATAAAAAAAGGTTCGAAATGCAGGAAAAAGCGGGGTCACCAATTTTGTAGTGGAAACGCGGACTTCAAAACTACAAACAGTAATATATGCAGCAAAAACTGACTCTAAATGGGGGAATTGTGTTTACCAACAAAAAGAAAGAGTGTACAGATTCGAAAAATCAGAAAAGGAATGTTCCACACTCACGCGAAGTAGAATCCTCTCAAGTAGCGAGATAGTATTCCGATGAGGAACCGGTTGAATAGAGGCAGTCGGTTCGGCGATGATATGGTGAAGTAGGCTTGTGAGGAGGGAGTCTCCGTCAGATCATACAAATTGCTAAGAATGTTGAGAGGTTACAAGCGAAGGCCAAGCAATAACGACGTCAAGCATTCTCGAAACCAGAACACAAAAGTCACGCTTTTTCACAAGTCTTAACCATGTGTGCGTATTATTGTGAATTTAAACAATAGTACAGAAATGATGAGGTGCACAAGAAAGTTTAGGGTGAAAAATCGAAAATGTGAATTAACCTACATAATCTACCCTACCTCCCACTTCCTCATGTCCTTACTAAACTCTCTGGTGCATAATTGTTACTTCCAAAGTAAGCATATTTTAATAGAATTTTATCAAATTAATCCGAAATTCGTTAATTCTTGCGCAGTCCTTTGCACTCCGATGGAACTGTTTCGTGCAGTTTATGCACACGGTTCCTACTCACCCGCTCACTGGTTGGGCCCCATGCTTGGTCTAGCGCCTAAGTGATCTCTTGCTGTCGGGCCGATGGGGGTTAGTCTGGATTGCGTTTTGTTAAATTGTGATTGTTTTCAGACAAAACAGCACTTCGTTCTGTTTGAAAATGTCTCTGGGTACAGCCTATTTCTAGTCAAAGAGTTCGATGAAATAGTGCGTCAGTTTTCGGCGCATCCGAACGCTTTCCTGAAGCCTACTGCATTCGTTCCTTTCGGATCGGTTGTGGAAGCTCTCGAAAATGTGCAATGTATCAACGAGGGTCGCGTATCACAACTCCTTCGACACTTTTTGCGTCAGAATTTGCCTATTAAGGACGCTGTCCTTGGAGTCGCAGACGAACGACTTGGCAGCTCCATAATGTGAGTCAAGGTTCGTTTAGCATATCGTTAGTTGTTAGGCAAGTTTTTATTCTCTGCCTCTTCTTACCCAGCAAATACTTACCACAAGAGTATATTCTGCCTTGTCATATACAACGGAGTCCCACGCCCCCTTTCTCCGACAGTAAGAAGCTAGTTGCACGTCGCGATACGCATACCGCCTCGATATGGACCTTTGCCACGCTGCGATAGTACCGAGTGCATTAGTAGTATTACTTCTTGTAGTACTTTAAGTGTTGTTATTGCACTTACGGCGGCTGTACTCCTGTAGACCATTGCACGCAGTCGAGTTGCTGACTACCGGATTTCGTCATCCGTCGTCCAAGAGTCCGCACGAATGACGAAATCCGGCAGTCAGTAACTTGACTGCGTTCGACGAGCGTGGAAGCCGATAATTTTGACTGGCACACGAGCGCATAGCAACTGCATACTTCAACACCTGGCCAGTCTATTTCGGCGCTGCGAAAGAGAGTACTGTCTAGATGGGTGGTGTCCACGACTTGCAGTTGCCGTTGATGTAAGGTTCATTGTAGCCAGCGTTGGGTGATGGCTGGGGCAAATCACCGTTTTCTTCGTGTTGACAATCAGGTCGAAAATGTCGCAGTCTGCGATGAAGAAGTCCATGCTCCTTTCCTTGTTCCCTTCTGTGGTTGAGTTTAGAGCGCAGTCGTCGACAAAGAGAAGTTCATGGACGGTAGTTATGGATGCACGTGACTGGAAGTACACCCGCCGATTATTAAGGAGATAGTCGTCCGTCCTGTAGGCGACGCGGGTCCCGGGATGTTCGTCACGGTAGGCGTTCATTAGTGTAGTAGAGAACATGACAATGAAGGGGTAGGCGGAAGGACGCAGCGCAGCTTCACTGCGTTGGTCACTGCGAATGCCTCTGAGACAGCTCCATTGTCCGTAACGCGCGCCATCATGCCATCGTAGAGCCGACGTACCATCTGAGTGAGTCGTTCGGAACAGCCAGATTTCTGCAAGACTTTCCGTGGCTCATTCACGATTAACCGTGGCGAAAGCCTTCATCAGTTCCACGAAGGTAGAGTAGACATAGGTCCGCATATTCTTGGACTTCTCCTGTAGCTAGCGGCCAACGAAGATCATGTCGGTGGTGCCGCGATGATGCCGGGGGCCTCGCTGGCTTTCTGGTAGGAGCTCCTGTTCCAGCTGGCTGTTGGGGCGATTGAGGAGAACGCGAGCGAATATTTTTGCCGGCGATGTTAAACAACAAGATTCCTCTGTGGCTGTCGCAGAGTTGACGTTTCCTTTTCCGCATGTAAAGATGGAGGATTGTGGCGTCCTTGAAATCATGGGGGACTTGTCCATGACGCCACATCTCCCGGAAGAGCTTTGGGGATTATTGCGTTTCGAGTTGGTTATAAGCAAATCTTCACCGAACTGGCTGGATGTTAAATAGCCCCTGTAATGTGTCAAAGCGCCCACCGTCTGGCCTGCATTTAGCTTAAAACCAGTGTCAACAACCTTCGGTGTAACTAAAGCATGTTATGTATAGGACACAATTTAGCCAGAGTAAGTAATAACGGGTATTTTTTACGACGCACATGTACATTTGGCTCCGAAGTTTGGCGCAGTCGTTATCACTGCTGTTATGCTTGTTCACCAGCTTCCTCTTTATCCGTTTTGGCACAGCCAGCGGGGTCCATTTACTGCTTAACCCAGGGTCGGAAACTGCGACTGAGTACCTAATCTATGGGCGAATTACCGCATTAATTGCATGACGGGGAGACTGGGACTTAGTATTATTACTAACTAAGGTTTTACACTAACTCAAATAAACGGTATGCATTTGCTTTCCATATCTTTGTGACTGTCTAATGCAGTTCGTCTGCTGGATGAGGCTAGCCACGCGTCTAACCATGTCTTGTCAGACTGCAAACATAATATTTTTGGATATGTGTGTTACTTGATCCAGCTGATTCGACTATTTAACAGTTGTCAAACTGTTTACCAAACACGCGTACATGGACGTGCATATTGCCTTCATCCTGTCTGTTCGCATTTATCATGTTAAAGTCGTAATGTCATGTGTATTCCTACCGCGTATAACTCAGTTATGGTATTAGCAGCACAAAACTGTTTGGGTTTGCGTTTCGCATTTCCTGCTCTCCTTCGTCAGGTAAACGTTTCTAGCAGACATTACCACAAAATTGCCCACGTTTTGAAACCCACCTTATCCACTGTACCTGGGGGGTTTGGTGCCAGCGGGCCGGTAAGCCTCCAGTGCATCATTGTCAGTCGCCTGTCGTTCGGGTAGTCCTGAGTACCCCTATGGAAGTTCAGTACCATCTGGTGAGGTGAAAAATCTTCGAAGACGCGAATGCATGGTTAGTCAGTGGGGAAAATTATCTGCTCTTCATCTCCACAATTGCGCAAAACAGAAACGTTGCTAGTTTCTCCTACGCCCGCTAGTTTTTCTGGCAATCCTGTCATTTTCTCAGGTTTATGCAGGTTTTTGTCCGCAGTGCCGCAAATAAAAAAATGAAACAAGAGCGGAGGTGAAACCTACTTAATGGCAGCCCTCCTGACATGTCCAGTCGATTTTAGGGTCTGACACCAAGGTTCCTTCGAACGTCGAAGGGTTTTGGGTGTTTTCTCGTCAGTAGTGTCGACCCGTAAAGCATCATTGACTAGCAAATCGACATCTGTGTGGGTTGCGAAGAAGAGACATGACAACTGGGACAACTTTATTCCCCCTACTTCCCGTACCCACACTCGAATTCATCATCATCATCAGTGACAAAATCAGAAAAGGGTTGCCCTTACGATCGGCGATTTCATCGGACGTTAACGTGTCGATGTGGTTAACAGAGTCAACCCAGACTAAACGTTGTCCGCTTTGCACTGGAATTCTTTAGATCAAGTGATGCGCCTAGGCATAATGCCGCGGAGTACTTCGAATGCTGTTCATTTTGAACCGATCGCCCTGTGCCTTTTGCTTGATTTTTAGTCGGCCGTGGATATTTCGTCGATTTGTACAACTCGAAAGGCCCGAGTCTTCAGTTACTAATTTAACCTTGCATTGTGAGGCAGAGTGGTCTTTTATTGACAGGGCTGGTCGAGGTCAGTATGTGCTATATACAATTCTTCTCGAGTTTATTCCATTATTCAACGACAGCAGGTAAAGTTGCAAAGCTTCTTCTTAACTTCTTCCTCGGCTATTGTCAGGGTCAGTTTTCGCTCACGGAACCGAAGTCACTCGCAGTAGAAGAAGTATGCGGTACCTTTACCGTTTTATCAGCCTTCTGCCCTGTCTGTATCTCAAAAGTACACTTGATGGGACCAACTGTTCTGGCGCAAAAGATAGCAAATGACATTGACGATCCCTCGCACCCTAATGCAAACTCAACTTCCTGGGGTTGCATGGAGGACTTCTGACGGCTTAGCACCAACCCAGCGACTTCCCCTATTTTCCTCTAGCCTTGTCTTCATTACAGTTATCCCAATACCTTGGCCAATTATTGACGTCAAGCTCTTAGTGAAAACCTCGTACAGTACTTTGATTTTCACATCGGACCGTTTGTTGGACGTCTTTTGGGCTACTGGCATTGGACCAAGTCGCTGGTTCGTTTCCCAGGGGATTTTTTATAATCCTTCAGCCTCTGTTGTAATTTCCCATCATCTCGGCACTAATTTTCTCCACCAAGCCTGTTTTTCGACATTTGTGGGTCTTTTGTGCAAGCATTCTTTATTTATCCCCAACAACACTGTTGTACTTTCTGGCCAGTTCAAATTAGCCCTTCAGAACGCATTTCGCTTGTGTAGTTTCTTATAATTTTATGGACTTTACGCCTAACGACTTATTCGTCCTCCTCCTCTCCTCCTCCCCAAGTGCCCTAGACATGGGTTTTGAATGCATCTGGGATGCGGCTGTGAGGGAGATTATCCGAATTATTCGCGCCAATTCCTCCCGCCTTCTGCGCTCCCTGCTCGTGCAGCCTGGTACCGTCAGTCAGAACAAGGCCGCGGCCGCCCGCACCACCGTCCAAGAAATCGCTCCGGGCAAACAGGCGGAACACAGGGCACGGCTGATTGTTGCGCTCTCACGTGCTCGCCTCCAACTTGATCTGCTCCAGCACCTTGCGGACACCGGCGTGGTCCGTTCTCTCAGTCTCCTTGATAGCATGGACAACAGCCTCGGCAGTTCAGTAAAACGTCTGAAGGCTGCTTACGCTCTCCACTTTCCTGAGCTTTGTCGAGATCAGGAGACACGCGCACTCGACGACTTTGCTTTTATCTCTATAATAGCCAACTTCCCGAACCGGGACGGTCTGCTAAGGTCTAGAAATGACACTTCTGGTTCTATTGAAAAACTCTCCGAGTGGACCGGTAATCGAAAATTAGCTGAAAACATTCTTGCCTGTGCGAGCACGTCGACGGGTCAGGACCTTGCCGAGGAAGACTTCACCACTCTTCAGACCTACGCCCACTTTTTACTGAAGCTTCTTCAGGTAACTTTATTATACGTGCTAGTTGAGTCTACTAACAGTGTCGCCAATGGTATCCGGTCTTTAAATGGTTAGTCTACCTCGTCCTGGAAAGCACAAAACTTTTGCGCAGGCAAATAGTTGCGAACGACCGCAATGAAAATTGTCAAGGTCCTTCAAGCGGTTTTTCGGGGTGAGAGAATACGTGTTTGTAACTGCCGGCGGAAGTTTTTTTGGAAAAACTGTCTCGCATGTGGTACTGCTAAAACGTGTGCACTCGCACGTTTTGTCTTTACGGCCTGCCGTCTAAGCATTTTTCCGTACTCCTCACAATGGAAATCTGGTAGATGTTTATTTTAAGACCTCAGTCGCCTGCATAGGCACGCCAACGCCTCGAGCAATCGACATTCTTCCTAGAGTTTTTATGCGTAATACCAACAAGAACCACCCTACTCTAAGCAACTCTGCAAAGAATCGTGTTTTTATGATGGTCATACTGCCCTGGCCGCAGTCCGTAACCAGCCCACTTCCATTCTTCCTGATGCTCACATCAGTTGTCCCGCGAATCTGAGCTGGGCGTTAGCGTCACAGCCCCGTAAGCCGTTTGGTCAAAATAGTTGAGAGTAGTTGACGTAACTCTTCAGTGTCGCTATGAAGAATGGTTTTATTTTGGAACAAGGAGCAGCCATGTCGCTGCATGCGTAGACTAGAATTTAATTCCAGGCCAACCAATGCCATCGATCAGCTTTTTTCATTTTGATTTGGTCTCACATTTCTGCATCACAGTGGATGCGGACGGAGAGGATGGGGTCGATACTGTGCAAGTTTTCCACACTGTTATCTCACCCACTCGCAGATCACAGCTGCTACCCTGGGGAAGCGATAGTCGTCATGTTCCATTATCTCGCTTGTTACCTGTTTCGGAGTTGTGGACGAGACACGAACAAAATGTTATTGTCTAATGGGCTTCTGGAAGGCAGCTGTTTAATCTTTTGCCAGAAAACTAAATCCGGTAGAGGGACACTCATCAAAAGGATTGCGTAACGTGCTCGCCTCGTTGTGCCTTGGAGGATCAATCTAAAACCCTCCCAGGCAGTCGCATAGCGACTAGTAATATTCAGATAACGTGGTATTAACAAAGACAAGTGTGACCGAGATGGCCATCTCTGGCTTATTAGCCGTTGTCAGCCAGCCACACCCAACCTCAGGTTTTGGGGGCACGTAGGGTTCGAACCCGAGTTCTTTGGTCATTGACTGTTGAGTAGTCCAACTCTATCGCCGAGTCGGGGGGGGGGGGCATGTTGTCTTGTCGGTCTTTGCCGGGAATGTTAACTATAGTAGAGGGCACTCACCGACTAGGCTACGGGACATGCTCGTCCCTCGTCTTTGTCTGGACCACTCTATCTGCGCATACTACTAGTCGCCTTGCGACTGCCTGCAAAAGCTCTAGATTGTGTCCCGACAGTTCGGTCGTCGATTTCGACGATATCGATCGTGTGCTGTACAGCATGGTAGGCGTAGCACTGCCCTCTCCCACCTGGACCCGGTGTCATGAAAAAATTAAGGCCACAAGCGGGATCAAGCGCGCAGCTGACTGGCCAGTCGTGAGCCCACGCCTAGGCGTGCCACCACACCGCCGGTCCGCAGACAGTGGACAGGAATTTCACGCCAGAAAAAAACGGAGGCTGCTCGGATCTCCTCCCTCTGGGAATGCCATAAAGTAGGCAGCCATTCCAACCTGACTCTTCGTTCTGAGAGGAGGACTGAGTTATCCCGTCAGGTTGTAGCTTTCCAAGCCATGGCTTTTAGCACACCGTGGTAAATTCAAACGCATCAGATTATTTAAAATGAGGACTATGCGCCAAGCGAGTCGACCTTTCTCTCCTCCCCCCACACACCAATCCACTGTCTAAACCGGTCGACAGAGCCAGAGAATTCGTCTGCGCTTGTCACTTACACGACCTGGCCCCACATACACAACACACCAGGATTTCACACAAAGAAGGTGGGCATCTCAGATCTCACATATGTGAGAGTGCCGTGGAGACCACGTTAAGGAGCCGTTTCAGTCTGACTCCTAATCTGCTAGTCGGCCACTCCACGCAAACGCACACTTGACTGACCGCGAGTTCCGAGTTGAATCGCCAGTTAGCAGCCTTCCAAGCCACAACTTTTAGCGCACCGGGGTGTATTCGGGCGTGTCCGCATTTTTATAGTGAGGGATATGCGCAGAGAGTCGACCTTGCTTTCTTTCTCTCTCTCGCTCTCGCTCTCCCCCACTCCCCGCACCCATGCACCAGTCAGTTGTCCAAGCCGTCAACCAACTGATGCTGAGATTGGTAGAGGTGGCTAATAGAGCTACGGACGATCTGTCTGCGCGTACCACACACACGACCTGCCCCCCGCACAGCTTGCCAGAATTTCACGCAAAGGGGGTAGACTGCTCGGATCACACACACAACTACACAGAGAGACCGAAGAAAATCCACTTACTTGAGAGTTGTCCAGTTCGTGCCTGCCGTGTGTGTCGGGAGCGTTCTTGTCCGTGCATGCGTTGATGGGGAATTGTGTGGTCGTGTGGTTAACCTTAGGTTTTTACGGAGGCACATGGGGCCTAGTATGCCCATTCGATGGCTGGATGTACGAGGGCAATGCGGACAGCTAAGGCGATGACTACGGGTGTATGTTGGTGCGCCAGGCACGCATTCACCAGTCTGTACGACGGATTCGCAAGTAACCGACCAGGCCTCTGCGCGCTGTGAAGGTAAGGCCACAACGAAGACAGGTTAGGATAGATTCCACATTGCCGGTTGTGGGGACGGTGGTGGCGAGTGTAGTGGTTATTGGGGTGTCGAGTGTTCTGGCCGGTGGTGGGGGTTGGAGACGTAGTTGTCGTCGCGGAGGTTGTGGCAGGCATGACAGGGTTAGTTGAGGTCGGCGACGTCGACTGAGGGGTCGTGGAATCAGAAGTGTGATCACCGGTGGCGATGGCGGTGGTAGTCGTCGTGGGGATTGGTAAAGGGGTGACGAAGAGGGGGGGTCGCAGAGGTGAGTGAAGTAGTCGGGTTGTTAGTGCATAGTGTCCGGTGATGTCCGACGGGACCTATACGCGCGCGGAAATTTCATTGACAACGTGGACATGTTGGATGGTTTGAGGTTGTAGGTCGGAGGCGCCTGAGACTTGAGAGCCGCTCTTTTAACTTTGATAGCAGCTATCCAATTGGCTTTTTAGGTCGGTAATCTAGTCCGCACTGCTCTTCTCCAGGCCGGTCAATCTGATTTAGTTCCTTCCGGGTCTCCGGATTGATTTTCAGTTGTTTGATAAAGGTTTTCAAGGTGTCCTTGTAGTGTCGTTTTTGTCCGCCGTGTCGGCGATCACCCGTAGTGACATCGCCGTTGAAATGTCGCTTGGGTAGGCGATTGTCGTCCATCCTCACATGGAGTCGCTTCATTGCAGTTGTAGTTACCTCGACATGGCATGGATGCTGAGGATTCCGGCCCGCTCCGAGACTTCCGTGCCGAGAATTCTGTCTTGCCACCTCAGCATTAGTATTCACCGAATATATCTGGGGTCGAAGTAATAGAGGTTTCGCGCTTGTCGTTTTGTAGACTGTTCAGATCTCTTCTCCATACAGCCGAAGGCCTGGCTGGCTGTGGAGATCCGTTATGCCTTTTCGTCGTCGGTTTTGATGTCCCGTGAGTGTACCCTTATGGGCGAAATTGTCCATGGTTTGAGTTGGGTGCCGTTGACCGGGATCCGAGGGGTGAAGGCTGGTGCACGACCACCGTTTTGCCCGTGTCAATGGCCAGCCCGAAGTTGGCACAGCCGTCCTCTGTTCTATATCCGGATTTGTCGCGATGTTGAGCCCACAGTCGTCCGCAAAGGCCAGGTCGTGGACAGACCTAAATGCGTTCCTGCTATTCGATGCTCAGACCAGGCCAGACAACAGGCTTTTCTCATCGGCCCTATTTTTCCGCCTTCAAACACTGCCTCGCGTGTACATCTACTTGGCCAAGGCGGAATTGAGTCCACTAACCCAAATTATCATGATGAGTCACACCAAAATTATATTTGAGACCGATCATTGGGACGAAACTGTTTTCTACTAGGATATCAGAAACGGATTTTAATCGCAGTTCGTTAGGTTCTGTTAAGGAGAACCCCAAGAACAAGAGTTTGACAAATGTGAATGTTTTCTATGAGAATCAGTGGATAAGAGTCTTCAAGGAAGAATATCATGAGTAGTATTGCCAACGGAGTCAAGTAAGCCTGGAATGGCCACTTTTGACCTACTGGCTGCCGTCATGTAACCATACCTCCGGATTATTAATTTGCCGTTAACCTGTGCCACCACCTGCAAGAGTTCTAGGCCGAAGATCAGAGTCAGAATGGAAAGACTACATTTGGTCATGCAATCAGTCCGGGTTAATAAGCGCCACTCCAGCACGCCTCTGAGTTCTCACGGCTTTACATCCTGTCCCCTAATTCCCAGAAGTTTTAAGGAATTACTGAATAAGCAATAGTAGCCTCCTTAAGTGAATAACCTTTTACTGGTTTGCTAGCCAACGCATTCAAGCCCGTTATAGTAGTATAGTATAGTACATGAATAAATAATTTTTATTAAAGACCTATCGGGCCCCATTAAAGCCTTCATTAATCCTTTTGTCTTCTCCAGTCTCGGAATAAATGTTGCGAGATGCTTGAACGACGTGTCCGTAGTCTACTGCCGAATCTGACTGCTCTCATGGATAGAGTCTTACCTACCAGCCAGTCGTCAGTGGGCTTGGAACATGTTCGTCGCGTTGGTGATAGCGTTTCATCAGTTTTTGTTGTGGCTCGTCTGCTGTCCCACGCTGTCACCCTGGATCGACTCGCTAGAATGTCAGCCTCGAGGGTGAATTCACTGGGTGCCTCAAAGTCACTTTTCAGGTAACCTTTTCTTGTTTGTGTGTTTTCCCACAGACGCCCAACTTTCTTTAACGTTAAAATAATTCGACCGTCTTTAAATATGAACCGAGCCTCTCCACTGCGGTTGGAGAAAAGAAAGCGAAATTCCGAAACATTGTTTGACCTCAACTCTTAACTACCTGTCGGTTTCGTCTAACCTGTCGAATGTTATCTGACATGTGCTCAGTACTAACGAAGAATCAGAGGTCATAACGACCCGTATTCCCACTCGCTTCCTTTTCTCCAAAATAGAAAGCTGTGTAGTTCATCGAATCAGGATTTGTCATCACGCTCAAATTGACCGGCGGTTGTTCATGAGCATGGAAAGGTATTTTTTGTTTAATGTCTTCTCTATTTTCCCTGTTTCTACTCCTGCTTGTTGCCTCAAGTTTCCAGCTAGACAGACAGATTGGTAGACTCCACTCTTCTGGAAATAGTGATGTGTCGTAAGAATGCCAACGAACTTGGCTTATGTGCCCACACTGGAAAAGTAGATCAGAGTGGTAAAGGTCCAGGACTGGAGTTGTGGTAGACGGAAAAGCGTATAAGGAGTTGATGTCACCAACACATGCGTACATGGCTTTCGAAATTGTCCGCTTCCGAGTTGCGGACGATGCGGCCTAAGCAAGCTCACGGTGTTTGTTAATTTGGTGTGATTTTCTGTATATTGAAGTCACATAGCATGTGAGATTGTAGGATTGTCGTCAGTGGCGTTTGGATTTGTCCGAGAGTAAATGTCAGTTGCGTTACGGTGGACATGGGGGTGTTCAGTCCGAGCTGTGCAGGCTTGCAACCTGCGTTCACGGTATCGGCTGGTGGTAAGGTGTTGGTAGATGCCAACAGAGATCCCCCAACGTAATGTTTACATTCTTTCTGTTTTTGCGGTGGATGCCAGATGTCCATCCAAGTCACTGTGGGTCCTGAAAGTGTGTTGACAGCAAAAACATAAAGGACCATGTCGTCCTGCATGCACGTGTGGTCGCCTGACCTGCCCATAATTCCGATCCCATTCCTCTTAAACTATCGCTGGTAAGTTGGTGATGTGTATCACAAACTCGGTATTCCTTTATTATTATTATTACTGTTAGTAAGTAGTGGTTATATTGTCCTATTACTAACCTCATTATTTTGCGATGCGTAGGTTGACATCTGTTTCGTCCTTGCTATTGGGTAGGAAATCATTACTATCGGTGTTATTTGCCTTTTGAATACAACTGGCTGATGACGGTTAATAAGTCATAAAAACCCATTCCAGTTTTTCTTGTCATTGTCGGTACTCCGTTCGGGTTACATTCTCCTTGTTTCGGGAGTAGGTGTTTCCATGTTCAAAACGTTTATGGCGCACACAGGTTCAGATCTGCTCGAATGAACATGCGCGAAGTAGGTGTCCCGGAAGTGTAAAAACCTAAGTCGGTACTTGTACTTGGCACGGCTGCGGTCATGCCTGATCTATCCGGCTTCGATGATATCCCGAACTGTACCTCTGTACGCGTGACGACCCGGGGCAGCAGATCTGGACAGTTTAATCGATTCTCCTCGCCAACGACGGAAACCGAATACCGAAGATCCAAGAGCTCCCGTTATCTCTTGACGAACTGTGTCAAGCTGAATTTTGACTTGATCCCCTCTTCTACGCCTTCAGTGGGCTATCGGTGCCGGATCGTGGGCATTAACACTGAGCTCCTGAGATGGACGACCAATAACATACCCAAACCACCTTAGTCGTCCTTCTTGGATAGCCTGAGATATCCTTGCGATGTTGTTGCAGCGCGTGCAAATCGTATCAGTTGAGACGAGGCCGGTGTACTTCACTCGAAGGATCATCCTCAAGTAGTGGTGGTCAAATGCCTCCAGTTTTCGCGCATCCTCAGCGCGCACAGCCCAGCATTCACAACCGTAAAGACAGACGGGACAGATGCACGATACACGCGAATCTTAGTGGCGATGGAGATGTCGCGTTGTATCCATAGGCATTTTCCAAGGCTTGAGATGGTCCGGCGGACAGCATCAATTCGGGGGACAATGTCGTCCTTACTCTGCCCATTCGGCGATAGCCTCCCCCGAGGTATTTAAAGCTGTCTACTTCTTCAAGTTGACAACCATCAATCCAGAGAGGTGTCTTCTTCTGATCAGGGATGCAACTTGAAAACACACCAGTCTTCCCAGCGTTTATGGGTAAACCGGCCGATTTAATGACCTCGTTAACCCGTGATAACATAGACTGCAGATTATCAAAACTTGGGGCAAGTAAGGCGGTATCATCGGCGTAATCGAGATCAGTCAGTGGGTTTCCGGGTGCAAACTCAACACCGTCAACTTCGTGTAAGGCCATCCCTGGAATCCAGTCAGCAGCGTAGTTGAACAGAATGGGCGACAGGATATAACCCTGTCGAACGCCAGACCGAATGCCAAACGGTCGGGAAAGATTGCTGCGAACCAGAACTCTCGCAGTGCTGGAGCGGTAATAGGCCTTGATCATGGCGATGTTTTTTGGCGATACGCCATCTAGTGCCATTAGCCGCCACAGGGGCTCATTATGGACAGAATCGAACGCGGCGGCAAAGTCAACAAAGCGGACGGCCGTTGGTTGCTGGTAGCTATGGCGGAATTCGAGAATGCGCATCAGTGTGAAGTCCTGATCCGCACATCAACGTCCAGCACGAAATCCGGGTTGGCTAAGCCTCGTCCTAGAGTCGCGCACAGCCTGGAATCATCTGAAAAAGTCTATATCGAAGATCTCCACAGCAACGTCGATGAGGCTTATGCCGCTGTAGTTCTCGCATCTTGTCTTATCCCCCTTCTTGAGGATAGGTACAAGGATACTTGAACCCCAGTCATCAGGAGCAACCTTGTTTCTCCACGCTTCTTCGACTACCTCATGGAGCCAGGACGCCAGAGTGTCGACACAAGACTTGTAGATTTCAGAGGGTAGACCGTCATCTCCGGGTGTCTTGTTGTTGCGTAGCCTCTGTATGTCAACAGCGATTTCTCCCTCAGAAGGGGGGTCGCATGACACTGCATTGATTGGAAAGAGAAGAAATTCCGCTGCAGAGAAGAGCAAGGGCGCGGTGGGTTGGGCATCATAGTTGGGGTGATGCTCGAAGTGCCCACGTCAGTGCTTGACTTTGGCCGAGCTGTCAGCAATAAGGCCGCCATTCACTTGGCGAATCACTGTGCATAGGACTTACTACTAACTTGGAGGCTAAGTTGCTAGAGTTTTCGGGTGTCATTATCGTTCGAGGCCAGTTCCATGGAGGTCTCTATTTCAGCCCAATATTGTTTTCGGTCATCCCTGGCCGATTTTGCTGTCACCTTTCGAAGTCTTCCGAAGGAATCATCATTACGGGACCCGGCCCGAACAGTCTGTGCAGACAATTTCATGGTTCTTCCGCTGACCCAGTCACTTTGGCGGCACTGTGTGAATCCAAGAATTATCTCAACTACCCCATAGACTGATGCTTTCAATAATGACCATTGACTACTGCCTTCTCCGTCTGCTCAGGTCGTAAAACGGGACCGGATTTCTGTATTCAGGACCTCGACAGTGCTGTGTTGTTGAAGTTTTGCAACATCATTGCGTCTCGCACGTGACATTTAGCTGCAGATGAAAGGTGAATTTTCGGGAGTGTGCGATCGAGAACGTGGTCAGATCCACGGTCGTTACCAGTTTCGGCATCGATCTGCTATGACGGACCCAGCTGCAGAACCTCGAGCCAACTAGAGCGTAGTCAATCTGACTGACCGTATGGTCGTCGTCTGAATACCAGGTTATCGGATATTTTTTGCAATGCTGGAAATACGTGTTGGTGACAAACAATCGGTCCTCATTAGCAACGCTCAACATTCTCTCGTTACTGTAGCATCGAGAGTCAAGCAGAAAACGGCCACTAAGGTGACTGTGGGCAATGTCGCTGGATCCAGTCCAGCTATTGCAGACCCCGGCAACAATCAGCTGATAACGCGAAGGGAGTCTTTCAACTACGGACACCCTAGACTTTTTTTTACCTGAATAGCACATATAATGCTCGAGGGATGAGAGTCATCAACAAGGCAAGAGACACGAATGACTAACTCTAGTACGAGACATGCAAAGTACGTTGCTCTGTTTTTAGGATGTATTCGGTCTTCGTTCTCTCAGTGCAGGGCAGTTCAAATACCAAAGCAGGTAGGCATAGTTGGAACACGATGTAAGTTCTCGGCCGTATTTTGTAGGTGGTGCGCAGCCGACGTGTATAAGCATGATGAAACTGAAATTTTTTATGCTGTCCTTGGTGGAAGGCTCCCAACTGATGGAATGACTTGACGCCCCTCCAGACTTGTGGCTTTTGTGGCATCTCTTACCTACATGAGGTCCTATGCTACCTTTTGTGCAGGTCAGGCTCATGTGTGTTTGTGTGTGCGGAGACCAGCACACGCGCCCGTGGTGCCCAAACTAAGTTTCAGTGCCACCAACCACTGTGCCCCATCACACCATCTTTGTCTTGTCGCTCTCACATGGTAGATTTGGGAAAAGGAAGTGAGGTGGATGCTGCACACTGCACCCTCAAGACAGCGGTGAACGTTATCTACCACAATGAACAAACTAACGTTCATGGCTTTGCTGTCACCGGTTGAGATGATACAAATCGAGGCTGGTGAGAGTAATGTGGGCTGTCTGCGCAAGCCTGGATTCTGATTCGTTTGTCATAAGAGACTATTTATAATCACCGTCGTTTACACCTGTAGCTTTCGTGCCTATCTCGTAAGTGACAGCGACCAAAGGTTAGCTAGTGTTTTCACCTAATTGTTGATATTCCCGCCTACGTAGACGGAGTGGAGTCGTTACTGCCACAAACTCGGGCCTCCTGGGTACCGTCGCCGCGGCCGAGAGTCTCGCGGTCGCACCGGATGGAGGCGTAGGCGTTTCTAGCAGGAGCATAACGGAAATGAGTGGTGGCCGTCTTCGACCAATCGTCGTTCGTCGTCGCATCACCCGTATTCTTGCCGCAAAGTCGGCCCTGGCCTCGAGAGCTGACTGTTTCCAGCGCATGAATCCGTTCCAAGCGGGTGCAGACGCTGTCTGCGCCGTCCCGCAGCACCTCGAAACGGGCGAGTACGGATCTAGTCTGGGCGACGAAGCCAAACGACAACTGCGCGTCTGGGCCGAGGCCAACGGAGTCCAGTTTGGACGCACAGATGCAGACTTCCAGGTTAGCTGACTTTCACTTCTTGATGACCGATTTTTTTCTCCGAGGTACTTTTATCTGTATCATACGCTGACTGCGGGCACCTGGGGCCTGGCGCCCCGGGAAGAATGCCTCTGGTGTGCGCGTGGTGAGGTCGATCCTCATCGTCGGGTCGTGTTAGACCCATTCATCCCACTCTGACTGGTCAGGTCTTTTCCATGTCGTGGTTTGTTGGGCAGAGTCTACTATCTTGACTAAATACTTTAAATTATCCGATTTTTAGACTACCTGTCAAAGTTGCGGTCTCCGATATGCCGTTACTCACTTTTTTGCAAAATAGCCTCTGCCGTCTCGCCAAGTGTTCTGGAACCTGTTTTTACTTATATTTGACTTCAACCACCAGTCTCGTATTGTCACTTATGGCCAGGATCTGCGTTCTTGTCAGGGATGGGGTCTTTCAAGCTTGTGACCTCTTATCATTCCATTTGCAGACAGTGGAGTCGATTGTGTTCCGTGTTTCGTATTATACTGCGTCTGAGGGCATGTACCCCATTTCACAGTGGTGGCGCATGCTCCGCCCAAATGTGCCGTGCAGTCAATTATACACATTCCAAGTAGGCCGGCGCTCGAACGCGAGGGCCGAAAAGTGTCGAATTACAGCGACTTTTGACTGAAGGAGGCTGTTACCGTCGCACTGAGCCGCGTCCTGTCGGTTGCGGTCGGGTTTATGCAACAGTATGAGGGCGCTCACCGATCCTGCTACGGAACTCACTCGCCCCGTTGTGCCTTTAGGCTCTCTCTCGAACCCCGCCGGCAGTCGCGCAGCGGCGCATGATATGGAATTGTATACTAAACTGCGTCCCAGAATCCACTTGCAAGTTATTGCTTCGCAATCATAAAGACATGGCCGGATCCATATCGGCTAATAAGAACGATAGCATTTGCCCTGCCTTATACCTTGTCCGTTGTCGTCGTAAATGTCTAGGAACGATAGGCAACCATGGCCCTAGTGTCGAAAGTGGCATGGAATCAGCAGTGGTCAGCATCGCGTTGACTTGAAGGTATCAGCTTCAGACGGCGGCTACTACGGTGTTTGGGTAGACAATCGTGCAACCCGAGTGCGTAGGATGTCATCTTCGCGTACGCTTGCTCAACTGTGAATTGTGTAGCTGCGATTTGGACGGTTGCGGTGGTTCAGGAGTTACTATAGGAACAGATCACGGCTGGCGGCTCTAGAGCTCCATTAGCTGATCCGCAATTTCCTGGTGCTATTTAGCCAATAGATACAGTATGTGACCTATCTCGTGAGAGATGTCGTAATTTACGAAAGATTACTACTCACTCGCAAACCGACACACGGGCGGACCAAAATTTCACAATAACAATAGTAATAGTAATGAAAGCAAAAGAATATTTGGATACAGTACCGTGTTGTTTAGAAAAAAATTTCCCTAGAAAACCGAAAAATTCCAAAAATCTCACAATGGTTTTAACTGAGTAAACCTGAGTTTTCAATGTCCAGAAAACCTGTGCATGCGGAAAGCCGAATAAATATAACACAACGGGTAGAATGAAATAGTACGAGTATAGTAGCGTTTGAAAATAGTCCTTTATTGAAATTTTCACTTAGATATCCTTCACGAACAAGTGTAATATCAAGTATGGCGGCTAGTCAGTAACCTATAGTTTGAGTATAGATTCCAACACGATTTCACGAGGATGAACTATATTTTTCCCCGTCTTACATTGTTTGCGACGCGGTTGACCTAGGCAAGCAGGATTTCGCCGACAGTGACGTCAGAAATAAAATGTTTCATAGGGTCGCATGTTGACAAGCCGCTCAGTTACTTATAGATTTCAATAGAATTGTTCGGCGCATTCGTAAATTTACAATCTTGTGTATATTAAGAGAACTTCCATCAAATGTCTTTATAGTTATTTCTGGTGCTGGGACATGGTGAGTTCCAGATGTTCCTTGAAATAGCGCTGAACGCTTCTCGATTTTCAGTGTTTCCAGTTGATTTCCCGCAGATGTAAATTCTGTTCAGTGTTTATCCTAACCTTCAAAATAACGTGCTTCCCTGAAGCGTATACTACAATAGCGAGTTATTGAGCATTCTAACGCAGATAGCCGTCCGGGTCATATTTGTATACTCACACAAGCATGAGATCTCACCACCGAGAAACCTGAAAGTCCACAACGAATTTTGGCTAAGAATCTGCTTTAAATTTAAAAACTTTCTCCCGTAAGTCGCCTCTCCAAAAACGCATTAGTAAGGTACTTAGCTGACGGGATGCTTGTGTACTTTGCTTTTTCCCAAGATTAAGACAAGGCAAAAGTTGGAATGCCTCTGCTTCCCTGGAAATTGGTGGTAATTTTTCTATTAAGAATGAAGGAACTCCCCTTTTCTTTCGTATTATAGTCATTTTCGCTCTATTTACTTTTGGGCTTCGTTTTGAGATTGTAAATGCACCACAGAGCAGCATTACAAATGTTAAAACTCGATTTTCTGTCCATCCCGTGTCTAAATTACTCATTAGCGGAGACTAGACCATACGAAAAGCACTATACCGTATGCTTTTTGCTGTATTCGCAAAAGGCAGGAAAATGTCGGAACGTCTAAACAAAGGAATGTCTGTAGGTGTTAGTACTGCGTTCTGGGACATGGGGCCGCAGAGATTTGCAAATCCGGCTTTTTGAAATCGATAAAGCGTTTGGTTTTCGCAAACTAATCCGTTTGCTCGCGCTTTGCTCTATCTGATTTAGGTGATTTAAAAAAATCATTTTTCATGCGAGACAAGTCTCTTGTGGTTTGAGTTTAGATTACCATCTTATAAAAAAACGCGCGGACGCCGAAAACTACTGTAAGATAGCCATTCGAATAGGAAACCACCAAAATACAAGGCAACTCCAGTTTAAGATCTGATCGATAAACTCTTTGGCTGATAAAATTATTTATAAACATATTGTGCGTGTAAAAAGGATATTTTCCGGAGTAGGCTAGGCGAATAAGTAAAACATGCAGCATTTTATTTGCCCACGATCGATCGTCTCAATCTTCATCATCACGTCTCATGCTGTAGACTAAAGCAGATGCGTCGCAGTTGTGATGGAAAGTTTTTCCGTCCTAATCATCTAACTGTTCATTAATTAGGAGTTAGGATAGTTGGAGTTTATAGGGGGTCACGCATTTGTAAATAATAACGCCGATCTTCCTCTACCAAAGTATTAAATTTCCAACTTGGAAGTTAGAGGGCGTAGGCTTTTGGAATAGTCTATTGTAGACAGAGGACACAACCGTTAACTTAATAAAGTTTGGTCGGATGACCGGTTTTACTCAATTGCACACTCTTCAAGGTCACCCTAGGCCGTCATCAAGGAAAGCTGGCCTACGTGGCACGCGTGGACGGACGAACAAAGCAAGGCATGATTTTCAGGAGTGTGTACCTTGTCAAGGGAACTGGTTATCAGTAGGTGTGCTTCTACTGCATTAGGTAGGTCAGCCGTTTCCGTTAGACTGTTAGGTTTAGTGAGGGTTAGGGTTCGACGTAGGTTAGGTTTTAAGATTAGGATTTGCGTTTTAAGGTCCGGTTTCAGTGCTTGGGTTACGGTTTGGCTTTAGGATTAGGGTTCGGCTTTAGCGTTAGAGTTATGGTTTTGTGGGTTAAGGCTAGACCATTAATTGACGGTTTCCGATTTTGGGGTTAGGGTAAGGACTTCAGGTTTCGGTTTCCGGGTTACAGTTAGGGTTTGAGTTAACGATTCGGTGTCAGTATTACGGTTAGGTTTTAGAGTTGGCGTTATGTCTAAGGACTACGGCAAGGTTTAAGATTTCGGTTTGGGTTAGGGTTATGGTAGCGGTTAGGGTTAACGCTTAAGGTTGGGTTTAGAGCTAAGGCTAGGACTAACGGTCAATGTCAGGGTTAGGGTTAAGGCTAGGGTTAGGGCTAAGGCTATGGCGAGGGTCAAGGTTTGGGTTAGGGTTAGGGTTAATGTTAGGTTTAGGGATTGGGCTAGGGTTTGGGTTAAGGCTAGGTTTAGCGTTAACGTTAGGGTTGGGGTTCAGCTTAGGGTTTCGGCTTAGGTGAGGGTTAGGGTTAAGGTTGGGTTCAGGGTTAAGGCTAAGTCTTGGGATAAGGTTAGGGTAAGGATTAACTTTAGGGTTAGGGTTAAGACTAGGGTTTGCGTTAAGCTTAGAGTTAAGGCCAGGTTTAGGGTTAAGGCTAGGGTTTGGGTTAAGGTTAGAGTTAATGCTGATAGCTAGGGTTAGCGATAACGCTAGGGTTAGGGTTAAGGCTTGGCTTAAGATTAAGTTTAGAGTTTGGTTTAGGGGTTGGGTTAAGGCTAGTGCTCGGGTTAACGTTAGGGTTAGGTTATGGTTTAGGATTTGGGTTAACGTCAGGCTTAGTGTTACGGTTAGGGTGAAGGTCAGGGTTAAGGCTAGGATTCGGTCGATGTGTAGGATAAGGGTTTAGGCTGGGGTTAGGGTTAATGTTTGAGTCATGGTTAAGGTTCGGCTTTGGGTTAAGGCCTGCGTTAGGGTAAGGGGTTAGGGTTAGAGATAGTGTTTCCCGGATAAGTCCTAGAGCCTCAGAGTTAGGTTTTGGGTATGAGGTTTCGTTGGATTTCAGCCTTGCGGCTCAAGTGCTACCGTTCAGCCTTACAGTGAAATTTCCGGGTTTTGTTTTTAGATTAAGAATTAAAGTTTATGAGTTAGGTCTGACAATTAGTGCTTTCCTCACGCTTGCCCCTATGGTTATTTTCGGTGGAGCATTCGGTTTTCGGTTTCAGTTTACCGTTATCCATTCCTGTGGGTTTCTCAATTCGGCTTCTCCTTCGGCAACGCCCTCCGTTTCAGCTCTACGGGATCTGCATCCCTACCACCACATCCTGCACTCGCTCTACTCAATGTCGAGTGGTTAACATCTTTGCCTTCGCGGTTAGCGTCCGTTTTATTTGTGTTTTCTGCATGGCGGTCATAGCTATCGCGTGCAGTTTCCACTGCCTACGACGAGATTACCATCTACCTTTCCGGTGTACTTACATAGGCGGGGCAATTCGCTACCATTTAATTGCCATAACGTTGGATTACGCAGTTCTTACATCCAAGGGCTACCTTCCGAGTTATAAGAGGTATCCGTAACGGACGTTTTGTTCTAGATTAGCTCGCCGGTTCTAACCTTCCACGTTTCCCCATTAGTGTTCGTCCTACAGCACTTTGGACAGCAGCCACGTTCAGTCACGGTTATTTTCGTCATTGCGTCTGCATTCAGTTGTCGTGCGCATTTGCCCTCCTTCAAGCTAGTTTACCTTGGCTTCCACTACCTGCAGATGCCAGTCAACCGACGCAGTTTCCACTCGACATTGTCGTCTCGGTTTTCCCTAATACCCCCGCCCCGCCTTCCCAGCCCGCACTTACGCGCTTACAGTGCATTTTCGCTTTGCTTTTAACCTTACGTTGCTCGATCAACGCGTAAGTATGCTCACCGGTGCACTTTCGCATCCGCCGTACTTGGGTTCGATGACGTCTTTCAGTAGTTCGCGGGCCCCCCAGACATTCAGCCCTACCGGTGGTCCCCTTCCACATCCGCCATTCGCCTCGCACAGTCTCCCTCCACTATTGCACCACGCGATTTAGGACGGTGTTCCCTTCATTCCCGAGGTTTCTGCACCTTGCACTTTTTCTCAATTTTGGCGTTCGACCCAACGCCCGTCCTCTTCGTGTGCTGTCCACCGTATTTACTTTCACGTTTGATGTAGTGCCGGCATTTTTGCTTGACAATCTCCTTCCTCCGGCGTTTGTCCAACTATTGGCACGCAGGAAATAGTAAGACTACTGCGAGCCGCACAATCCAGACTATCACCTCAAGTGACCAAATTGAACGCGAGGTTGGCAAAATGTGTCATTCCTTTCGTCTTCAGACTGGCCGTCTAGTTGGCCTTCGACTCGCGCAGATGTTCCCTCCGTGTGGTATAAACGACCACAGACAAAACAAAGGCAATGTACTTCAGTCGAACAGATTTCGCCATGGCTGTTAATAGTTCACATAAACATCTGCTTTGTTCGTCTGCACTGGCCTGCACATCTAACTGCCGCTGTTCCTTCCAGAAAAACGAGGGCCGTCTTCATTGCCTTTGGTAATGTTAGGTGGCTTCGTTCAAACTCTGAGGCCGTTCTCAGTGCCTCTTCGTTCCGCATTTACTACATCTGCAGAGTACATGCTGCTACATGTTAACCTTACCTGTAGGCAAGATCGTCCGTGTGTTGCCGCAGCACCCGCAGCCGCATTGGCAAGCGACGTCAGCAGTCCCTTCGCTTGCAACTACTGCACAAGCTTCGGTGACTGAATCATATCCTGCATTTCGCCAAATTTCGTTGGTTGAGTGACTTGCGGAGCTGCCTTCCTCGGTTTCCTTACAGTCCGCGGTCTAAAAGAGGACAAAATATACGGTGATAACTTGGTAAACCATGCCGGTTGCCCTGTTTCACTCTTTTTTCGACTCCGCCACGGTTACCAGCTACGTCGTCTTCTGTTTAATGCGCCAAATCGTAAGCCACCTGCCGCCGCGTCTCCCTGGCCGCCTATTTTTGCTTACTTCTTAACCATCCGCGTTGTCACTTACGGCAATTTGGCTTAGTTGTCGTTAATTCTACTTCCGCTCGCCACTTCACCGACATTCATGATATTGCCTGCGCTTTTCGGGTACGCTGTGCGGAATGACCTTGCCATCCGCCGCCTACATCTCATTAGTTCCCAGGGTGCTATTATGCGCTTATCCTATCGTTATTAACCTCTGTCATTTTCCGCAGGTTGTACCGTTTACAGTGGGATTTTTTAAATTTCTATCATTATTCCACCTACTTAAAACTCCCACACACTTTCGCCAGTAGCTTTATTTTTCCCTGAAAACTCCAGCATTCTTCTTCCAGCCCACTCGTAAAACCCCCTTTCCCACCATTCCCCTAAGACAGGGGCCTCGCTGTCCACTTCCTCATTCCTGGCTACCTACTGCGATCTACCTCGAAAATCGATTAAAAATTAGTTCTACTTAAGTAGTCATTTTTACTGAGTGTTGTTTTTGCAGGCAGCCAGATAGAAGCGTATTCAAAAGCCGACATATTTAGCTGGCTGAAATGTCTTAGGGTTATTATTCAAGCAATTCAATATTACAATCCCGCTCAAGTAGTCCGTCCTAATCGAAAACACAGCCGCGAGTTTTCGGTTAACATGCCATGGGATAGATCAAGTACTGTACTTCAGTTTAGCGGTGTTACATTTCGTGGGCTCAGCACACCCCCTCCCCCTCATCTCGATCGTCGCATCTCAAAGACTGACAGGGCCTCGATATCACTACCTTATCTTTTGATTTTTCCGACCTCAGTAGCTAACCTGCATTTCATTCTTTGCAGCGCCAACGCGAGAATCGGAAAAAGTATCGCAAACAGAAGCGGAAGGCCTGGCTCCGTCGGAAGCTAAAGGGCGCTAAAGGTGGCTGCGTCCCTCTGCCGTTGACGCCCGCGCATGCAGCCATCGTCTCTGAAGTAGAGGAGACGTCGACACCCAAAGGCAAACCGCCTGCAGGGGATGTTCCTCGTCTGGAGAGCTCTGACGATGAAGGGGATGAAAGCCAATTCTATGTGACTGGCAGGTCCAAGGAGCTGGACAGTCGATTGACAACACCATCCACAGGAAGAAAGAGACCGGCTGAGACTTCACCGGACCTCTCTTTGTCATTGTCGTCGTCATCTGACGAGAAAGAGGAGGAGGAGGCCCCTGAGGAACTCCAAAAGCGGACAAAGAGGAGACGCACCAGGGGCAATAAGACGACCCCTAAAGCAAAAAAATCCACCCCACTTACTGCGAAAAAATCAGCAACGAAAAGGAATACCAAGGCTTCTATCTTGGCAAGCGAAAGAAAACCGGTCCGGTCGTCGCCTCGGCTACTCAATTCAGTGGCTTAGATATTACCTGGACTGTTCTGCGTGTACATATGTGATTTATTTTTGACAGCTGATAATCCCGAAGACATAGATGGTCGACTACCTTGCCTGCTACTGACATGCACTTTCGGGCCTCCTATCAACGATCTTATTGATGGTCACTGTTATGCGGCACAAGGCTAGGGTTAGAATTTGGGCCAAGGTCAGGGTTTAGGGTTAAGGCTAGGTTTAGGGACAAGTTTAGGGTTAGCATTTGGGTTAAAGTTTGGGTTAAGTTTAGGGTTAAGGTTAAGATTTGGGTTAAGGAAAAGGTTTGCGTCAAGCTTAGGGTTAAAATTAAGGTTCGGGTTAAGGCTAGTGTTAGGGTTAAGGTTAGAGTTCAGCCTACGGTTAGGGTCAAGTTTAGGATAAGGCTAAATGATGTTTTGGGTTATGGTTACTGTTCGGGTTATTGCTAGTTTTAAGGTACACATTAGGGTTAAGGTTAAGCTTTGGGTTTGGTTTAAGCTTAGGGATAAGCCTTGGGTTTGTAGTAACGTTAGGGTTTGGGTCAAGTTTAAAATTTTGGTTAGGGTTATGGTTGGGGTTAAGCCTAGGATTAGATTCATGTTTAGCTTTAGGGTTTGGGCTATGGTTAGGTTTCGGGTTAAGTCTACGGTTGGGGTTAGGTTTGGGGTTATTGTTAGACCGAAGTTTAAGGCTAGGACTTGGGCAAAAATTAATGTTTGTGTTAAGGCTAGGGTTAGGGTTAACGCCAAGTTTAGGAGTAATATTAGGGTTAGGCATGGGGTTAGGTTTATGGTTAAGGTTAGTGTTAGGTGTCCGTATTACGGTTTGGTTTTGCGGTTAGGCTTAGGGCTACGCACTTGGTTTAAGGTTTCGGTTTGACTTAAGGTTTGGATTAGGAGTAGGCTTTAGTGTTAAGTTTCGGGTTAGGGTTAGTGTCCGTGTTATGGTTAGGTTTTATGGTTAAGGCTATGGTTGGTGCTTAGATCTGAGGTTAGGGGAGCGGTAGTGTTAGAGCTAGTGTTTTCCGGATAAGTCTTAGAGCCTCAGAGTTAGGTTTTGGGTATGAGGTTTCGTTGGATTTCAGCCTTGCGGCTCAAGTGCTACCGTTCAGCCTTACAGTGAA